TATTTTAAACTAGATTATAAAGTTTGAAACTATTTGAAACTAAATTGTAAAATTTCAAACTATTTTAAACTAAATTATAAAATTTCAAACTATTTCAAACTAAATTATAAAATTTGAAACTATTTTAAACTAAATTGTAAAATTTCAAACTATTTTAAACTAAATTATAAAGTTTCAAACTATTTCAAACTAAATTATAAAGTTTGAAACTATTTGAAACTAAATTGTAAAATTTCAAACTATTTTAAACTAAATTATAAAGTTTCAAACTATTTTAAACTAGATTATAAAGTTTGAAACTATTTGAAACTAAATTGTAAAATTTCAAACTATTTTAAACTAAATTATAAAGTTTCAAACTATTTTAAACTAAATTTCAAACTATTTCAAACTAAACTATATAAATCACAAATTACAACGTAGAATAAAATCTAGATTAATCTTCTGACGAAAGCTAGATCGATTCCTGCACATGTAGATATTTTACGCTCTTACGCTACATTTGCCAGTTATTACTCCAATACTAATTCCACTTACTAATTCCAGTATCATTAAATTTACCGCAACGATGAACCGGCCAATAATAATAAATGTTAAATTTTAAAAGTTTATTTAAAAGCTTTAAAGGTGTAAAATTTCATCTGAGGTTTAACCGAATCAATTATCAAGCCCGTCAACAGAACGAACATAATATAAATACGAACAAAATACGATACACAACAGAGTCCCACGTAGAATTCCACGAATTCTGAACCCACCTGTTTCTAAAATCCACAATCGTCTGTTGCTCCCGACCATGCGTCAACCTGTCCTTCGTCTCCCCGTTCTCCGGGATTCTCCTGTTCAATTCCACCTGAGAACCGTATACGTTTGGATCCTGTTCTATCATCACCTTCTGGCCATGCCTGGCGAGTACGTGCATCGTGCTCAATGAACCACGTCCGAGGCCCCTCGTGATATCCGGCGTGACGCTTCTCGGTGGCTCAACGTCCCTCTGCGGCCTTCTCGACGGTAGCGTGTAGAACTGCTGTTCCTTCCCAGGCGCGTAGCACTGCTGGTTCCTCGCGTTTCGCATGTACACGATTTGACGCTGGTCGCAGACCTTGGAATCCTTGCCACGTTCGAATAATAATTTATTGTCGTTGCAGAGAGTTCGCCGAGGATCGTGAGCATAGACGTTGAGGGGGTAAGCCGTCTGTCGGCCATAGTTGACGGTCGTCGTCTGTCGCTTCTCGCAGATCTGTATCTTCTGAGGCGTGGGAGGATCCTTCAGGATCTCACGGATCTTCTCCCTCTGACATTCCTCGGGCTTAGGCGGCGAGATATAAGGCGGCGGCTGAACTATCCCGTGGGGAGGCACCGAGTCTATCGCCAACAGTGTGTTGTCTGAAACAGAACGATCAATCATCCCCCTTGTCTCCGGGTGTCTCGCGTCTTTTATCGTCTAACGATTAATTCGAAGAGTTTTTGCAGACGAAACCTTGCTCGGATTTCAGTGGCCGAGATTTTCTTCGAGACGTTTGAATCTGAGTAATCTGACTTCAAGCTTGGATCTAGTTTTTTTTTTTTTTTTTTTTATTAAATCAAGTCAATTTTAATTAAATTTAATTAATTCAATTTTAATCTTAATTCAATTTAATTAAATCAAATCAAATTAATTTTAATTAAATTCAATTTTTCTTTAACTTTAATTAAATTGTAATGAATAAAATATTTCTAATAATTAATTTTAATCAAATAAATTGAATTTTAAGTTCAAGTTGAATTAAGTAAATTAGATTAAATTGGTTTCCTCTGTAATTATTTATATTTTTGTTTCTATTACTTTTGAAGTATATCATCTCGTCGAAGAGAGTGTGTAAAATTTTCCTGACAGTATTCTACACTTTTAAATTAAAGTTTGACTCAAGTCAAGAAATTTGGGTCTTGAAGTTTTTTTTTTAAACTCGATATGGAATAGTCGAGGCCAAATGAAATATATAACACACGTGTTACTAAAATGCAAACAACTTGAAGTCAAGTGACTCGTTTAACGAAGAAATATGTATCAAGTCGATTAAATAACTTCCAATCAATTAAATAATATTCAAATTGATTGATCAGAACAAGGTTTAAGAAAATCGTTCTCAAGCTTTGCGAATAAAATTCGATCGTTTGTTCTATTTGTTAGACACTGATTTGACTACATAAATTACTACACGCATTTATTTATTTATAAATTTTCGCGAAGAATATGCTACTAATAGATATTGCTTTCAGTTGTTCGTTTTAGTAAAAGAAACTATCTATTACATTTGTTATTGGTCTCTTAGATTTTTATTTTTCGATTAACACTACGTATTTCATTGACGTAAAGTATATTCGAATCTTTTAAAAATAATTCATTGAACGATTTGAAACTAACAGAACAAGTATTACGATTTGTTAATAGCATTGTCATTAGTGAGGATGACAAAAAGCAAGCATAAAGATATTTGCAAATGCAAGCATGCAACAAAGGCTCGTCGAGAAAACTAAAAGCTCATCGATCAATCACTCGGGAGTCCGGTACGGAATGCAGATTCGTGACTACCATAAATCATGTTAAATTTCAAAAAAAAAAAATAAAAATAAAACGAGACTGGAATATTTCATATCGGTGAATTAAAAAATAATACAGTGACTCAGCATTGCAAAATTTATAAATTGAAATTTAGTCTATATTTAATTTCAATTTTATAATAGAAGTCTGTGGATTTTCATACAGTATGCAGAAATGTGTAAAAATATTTAAAAATATAGATAATATTTATATAGTGAATAAAAGAAATTACGTAAATTTTATTTTGTTATTATAATGAATAAAAGAAAATACGTAGATTTTATTTTGTTATTATTTTTTTTTTAATGTATTCATAAAGATGTATTTTATAATTAAAATACATTTACGAAAGATACTTTTATGAGTTGCTATATTTCAAACATTTTTTTCATTTCATCGAATTTCAAAATTTTCATGTATTTGCGAAAAAGATGAGAAACCTTGTTCTATTTGATCGACTATAAAGGATGACAATGAACATTCTGCATCGAACTCGCGCGTTTTCTGATGAAGACAAAAAAAAAAACAAAATGTACTCACCAACTATGGTACTACGACATGTATTCGTGAGCTACTAGCGAGGTTGCCACACGCGTGTGAGGTGCATTTCTATTTTTTTTTCTCTAAAACTAGTATGCATATGTACACAGACCAATGTGCACGAGTGCGGACAAAGAACAAATTGGGAAGTGAGTAAAAAAAAAAAAAAAATACATAGAGAAGGCAAACGATAGGTTGGGACAGGCTGGAGTTGAACAATGGCTAGAATTTCTGTCTGAAATCAATCGAATTTTCAAGGCCACTGCGATGAGAATTTACAAGCCTAAATAAATTAAACAGGAAGTTAAAATATCGCGTTGATTGAAATTTAATTAACTACTTTGATATTTCCTCTTTTACAATACAATACTTTCCTTGAAATTTTAAGTAACGCATTTTGAAATAATAAAACAATATTAATCGAAATATTGAAAATATCATTGAATCAAGGTACTATTTTAATTGCAACACTATACGTATATTTCAAACGTTATAAATATCAAAGTACTAAGCGTTTCAGAAATAAAATAAAATATTGTACAAAGGCAAACACGTAGAAGAGAATGAAATTATGTGCTTGTTTCTTCGGTGGCGGAGAGGACAGCCTTGAGAAACCGATCGATTTTAGGCGAACTGTAATATTTACAGTGAAAGGATCGGACGATACATGATACAGGTGAAACGTGAGCGAAGAGAAACAAAAATAACAAAATGCAACCGTGATTTACATAAAAAAAAAAAGAAAAATGATGTCTCTATTCACATACATTCCTCGTAAAGGTTGAACGACGATAAATCGTTCGTCGGTATGTACATTCGAATAACAAGATGCGCTGTGTTTGTCACTGATCAAATACAAAAAAAAGGAAAAAAAATAAGAGAAAAAAAAGAAAGAGAAATATACACAATTTATGGACATACAAGTGCACACAAGTAAGAAATACATTATATATATATATATATAGTAACACATACGTATGTACATATACAGTATAAAATGCTGCATGCTCCTCTACCCAGGTTGTAAGTAGATCTCTAGATATTAGTCGCAAGCTGATTAATTCTTGCCGTAGCGAGAGAAATATGAAAATATGATGGCATTTAGTGATGGTATTTCGTTTCAACGGTCAACACGATGACACCGAATGTGAATTCTAAATTAATTAAACGGATACTCGAGTGTGCGATTGAAGTTATTCGTGCAGAGTGTTTTTAAATTGCTCGTTCAACCTTAGGATTGCGTTGTATCATCCATATTGGTGAAAAAAATATCATGCAAATGTCGGTGTGTAATTACAATAGCTGACAAAATATTCTTCAATTTTGATCCTTTGGATCATTTCGTCTTTGAATGTAGAGATCTAAACTAGTGAAAGTGGAAAAACTTAGCTAATTAAATACTTTTTATGAAACCAAAAGACAAATTTATCGAAATTTCTGATAAATAAGGCTCGTCGCAAAATTCACATTCACAGAACAATACTGTAAAATTGCAAGATTCCGTTGCTTTAAAAATTTTGCTTACACGTTTAACTTTACATATATAATACATATTAAACTTTAAAACAAACAAAATTATTTGCAAATAGATCTATTTTTCACTATTAACCACTTGCGCTGGCAGCTGATTGCGGACCATAACGAGTGACCAACACCGTACGCAATAATCCGTCGCTTTCTTTTTCAACTCGTCGGTATGACGTCACTGAACAGAAATTATTGAGAAGTGATAAATTCATTATTCGTTCTGCCTATTTCTGTTTTACTTAAATATACTGAAAACTTAGGAAATGTTGCAATTTTGGAACAAAAAATTCTCGACGCGCGCGACAAGTCATTCCAGCGCAAGAGGTTAACCACTTGACTGCGGACCATAACGAGTGACCAACACCGTACGCAATAATTCGTCGCTTTCTTTTTCAACTCGTCGGTATGACGTCACTGAACAGAAATTATTGAGAAGTGATAAATTTATTATTCGTTCTGCCTATTTCTGTTTTACTTGAATATACTTAAAACTGAGGAAATGTTGCAATTTTGGGACAAAAAATTCTCGACGTGCGCGTCAAGAGGTTAATGCAATAGATTCCTAAAATTGAAACGAGATGCCTGACAAAACACTCTGCATAAAATCTCCGACGTGTGCATTATTCTCTCGTTTTTATTAGCAAATGGTGCACGCGTGATGCCGATGAGCGTATGAAAGATCGATTGGCAACGATTGGAGCTCCCATGTTTGAAGTTAGTCACCAGAATGTTAGTGCTGTACGCTACTTACAACGAGGGGGGCGAGCACGCAAAACGGCTAACATGCGACACGACAAAGTCACGGGGCACACTTGCGTCTTCACCGCATGCCGAAACTTGAACTCGTTTTGCTATAATATCTCACTAAGTTTCTCTCTTCTTCTTGTTCTAGCTATACATCGCGTGCGTAATTTATTCACGAATAAACGCTGGCCACACGAACAGAAGCGTATATAACACGTTTTGGTCTAGTTACAATTACAGAACTTCTTTCTCTCTGTCTCTCTCTCACACACTCACATATACACACACTCTCTCTCTTTCTCACGAATAATTTTCAAAAATCTAACGCAGAAAAGACAATCGAAATTTTTAGAGAAAATATACAAGAGCGTGGTTTATTACAATTATCGTTTTCAGTGATCGATCAACGATTTTCATCTTTCGTGTTATTATTATTTCTGTGCCTCGCCACCTTGACCAACAACGAAGAAACAGAGACAAAAAGGAGTGGTTCTTTACTCGTTTATTTCTTGTACAGAGTTTCATTATAATAAAATCTGGTTGACGTGAATACTGTTGTCTACAGTTGTGTTTAAGACTGTTACTCGAGCACTATGACTAAGAAATAGATTCCAAAAAATTGACCCTGAAATCTACAAATTAGAAAAAAAGTACATCTAACGTCTCGCTTTCTACCATTTTTTTTTTCTTTCTTTTTTTTGACAACACCAAGTCCTCCTAAAAAATTCCGCTTGAACGTAACGAAAATAATGTGTCTCTGATGAATGAAAATGATGAATTAAATGATACGTTATCTCATTCGACCGAATTACATTAGCTTGCTCGAACGTTAGATTACTTCATTATTTCGCTATCATCAAGTGAGATTTCTTTTTTTTTTCTTTCATTTTACATTTGGACGATTATCTCCAATTTCTGTACGTCACACGTTTGTTTTCTTATTTGAATAATCAAATTAACTCAAGAAATTACACATTTGGAAACGATCTATTGG